TAGACTTGCAATTTATTTTTCTCAGACTTTCTTTTTTTAATTTTTTTTTTTTTTTTTGTGGAACCAGGGATTGAACTGAGGCCTTTGAGCCACACTTGCCAGGCAAATGCTTATTCTGCTGAGCTATCTCCCCTGCTCCCCTTTCTCAGACCTTCTCCTTGACCAGTTGTATTAGTCAGCTTGCCTTGTGCAGAGACAAATTAGCCGACACCCTAGTCTTAAGGAGCACAGGCTTATTTGGCTAATAGTTTCAGAGGAGGCAGTCCATGGCTGATGGCAGCCAGGGAGGAATATTCTAGCCAAAGGGTAAGGGGTAAAAAGCTGCTTGCTTCATGGTAGCCAGGAAGCACAGTGGGGGAACAGGGTCAGAGGACAAGGAGCCCACAGTCATGCCTCCGTCACCCCCCACCCCATGCACGCAGAAATGTACTATTTTAATCCCCTGTGTAACTTCCAAGTTGACAATTAAGCTAAACCACCACACCAATTAAGTAGAGATTGAATATCTTTCTGACTTAAAAGACCAGTATAAATTAATATGAAAAGGTACACTCGAAGTTTTTCCAGGTCTAATTTTTGTGCATATAACATTTGCAAAAGCTTATCTTAAAATTATGGGGGAAAAAAGGTGTTCGTAAAAAAATAAAATCCATGTGATCTATAGTAAGATTACATTTGAATAAATGTGCTTTTTGCTTTTTCTTTCTTTTTTTAAACAAATATCAGTAAGTACTTTCAAGCCTTCTTTGGCTTGTTTCCCCAGACCTGCCTCTCCACGTAGGTGAGAATGTGAGTAGTCACGCCTGTGCGTGAACACATCCCCACAGAGCGATTATGCCGGCGTTGCTTCTTGGTGTTTGCTGTCGCCAGACAGCTGTGGCATGTGAACATCGATGCACTGTCATAACTAATCTTAATTCAGTGAGTACAATGAGCCTCAATTGTTTGCCGTGGCTGCCTTTTCTTCAGTGAGCTTGAGATTTGGTAATGTCTGAGCTTTCTGCTCAGAGCCCTGTGTAACTGTTAATTGTATCTTTATCTTGAATTGAGAGGAGCACTTTCATTTTATAAACTTATCAATGGTCAATAGTTAGCACTGTCTTCATCAAGTCTCGTGGTTTGAGTTGTCTCTTCTTCAAAATCATGTGTTGAAGCTCTAACCCTCAGGCTTCGGAACCCGACTGTATTTGTAGGTAGAATCTTTGTAGTGTAGTGGAAACTGCTGATGTGAAGTCAGTAGGGTGGACCCCGCTGAAATGATCGGTGTGCTTGCATAATAGAGAAAATTGGACAGAGAGACAGAGAGACAGGTAGACAGAAACACACACAGGTGCACACATACACACACTCATGCGCGAGCGCGCACACACACATACGTGCTGCTTGAAGAAGGGAGTGACCAGGGTAATATTTCTACAAGCTGAAATTGATACAAATCACCAGAAGCTAGAAGGAAAAGGTGGATCAGATTTTTTCCCATATCCCCAAGAAAGAACCAGCCCCAGTGATCTGATCTGGGAGGTCCAATCTCCAGAAGTGTGGAAGAGCATGTTTGTGGTGCTTAAAGTATGTGGTCCTTTCTTGTGGAATTTCCACAAGACCAGTGCATCAGCAAATCCTCTTTTTCTAGGTACAGATTTGCTGGACCTATTCAGAAGACTTTGAAAGGCATCTGAATTTTTATTAGGAAAAATTAATATTGTGTGGAATCCAAAATCACTTATATAAACAAAATCATTACCAAAGAGAGATTATCTTATCCACAGGCTGGCAGCTAAATTATTCAAAATATTTTGCTTAAAACAGATTTATCCAGCAGAATTCCTGCAAAGCGGTGTGAGTACAGGCTGGGAGCCAGCATATAGAAATAGCTTCATGGAGAACAGAAGCTTATAATGGAATTAAGTGACAGCCACCTCCATCTTTATTTAGCTTAAAAATGTGATAATACATTGAAAACATCTAATTTCAATTACAGGAACATAGTAAATCTTCAGTAATAAATGAAAATTCTGAAACCTTTGAAGTTTAGATAGAGCCACCCAATTTGATCTTAAAGGAATGTTTTTAGGGTGCTGCTGAAAGAGCGCGGCTGTGATTGATGTGACCATTACTGTCGTTCCTGACATCTTTCTTCAGCAAGGAAGCTAAACTTCTGCACAGTGTCACCAGCTCTATGGAGACGGCACTCAACTCTTCTAAAGTTATCAGCACAACTTCGAGTCAATATGGCAAGGAGTCGAACCGCCTCACCAGACCCCACTTCTGCATATTTCTTTCGCACCTTCTCCAGTATTTTTGCCATCCTTCCCACCGCATCTTGATGTGACTGCTCTGTGTACTTTTTTCCTATCAGACCATAAATTCCTCAAGACAACTGGCTGTTCCTCACTGTCCTCCAGGGCTTGGCTTGCTGCTGGTCCCGCAAGGTAAACATGCTTGAGTGCTGAGAAAAAGGAGTCAGTGAGATCTGCAAGACGGCCATCAGATCGAGGAGCATTTCGATCAGGTCGCCATCTGCCGCAAGGCTGTCCCACAGCTGAAAGTCCCAATGACTTTTAGTCTTTGACACATTTACTGTTTTAAAGGATCCTCGAAGACAGGAAAGATATTATTGTTATACTCCTGGAAAAAAGATAAAACTCACCTAAGAAGAGAATTGACTTGGATGTGGTGACACAGACATTTGTGAGCTTCATTAGGCACTGTCCTAACTCAACTTAAGCTCTCCTACTGGGGCACCTTGCTTCCCACAACTTGCATTATGTAACTTACCTATGGTGATTGTTTTATTGGATGAGATAATTTTTTAAGGCAGCCACTGGGACCTCTATAATTCTGCATCTACTCGGGTCCATCTAAGTAGCTTTTGGTTGCCTAAGGTCTCCCAAGATTGATGAGATAAAGGATATTTATTAAATAAAAGTTGCATGTTTTTTTTGTTTGTTTGTTTTTGGCAAAACTGGGGATTGAACTCAGGCCCTTGCACTTGCCAGGGAAGCGCTTATTCCACTGAGCCATCTCCCTGGCCCCAAAAGTTGCATGGGTAGCAGTATTTCCAGAGATAACGTACATACAAGGGAATTAGACCACGCTGCCCACTGGAATTAAGTGTACAACACAGGTCTTTGGTAACAGGACTTTTTTCCACCTGAAATAGGCCAGAAATAATATACTTATCAGTTGAAAAGTCAGGATATGCAAATGCAGAAGAATGAAATTGGACACTTATTTCATACCATACACAAAAGTGAATTCAAACCATTTTAAATATTTAAATATAAGGCCTAAAGCTAATAGAAGAAAGAGTAGGGGAAAGCTCTACCGTACTGGTCTGAGCAATGATTTTGGGGATATAGTTCCCCAAGTACAGCAGAAAAATCAAAACCATACAAATAGGATTTTATCAAACTATAAGGCTTCTTGAACAAAAACAAAATAATACAACAAAGAGGTAAAGAGATATCTTATGGAATAGAGCAAACATTTGCAAATAGTATTTGCCCCTCTGTTCACCTGTCTACATGCTAATTATTTGCTAAGGGGTTATGTACAAATATAAAAGGATTTTATATAAGATCTTCATCCAAGATCCTACATAAGGATCATGAACAACTTGATAAGAAAAGAATTGATTTTTAAAAACAAATGGGCAACAGACCTAACCAGACATTTCTCAAAAGAACACATGCAACTGGACAGCAAGTATATGCAAAAGTACACGTTACCAGTAGTCTTTAGAAAATGTGAATTACAGCCACAGTGGAAGCTGCCTCATCCCTGGTAGGAAGATAGAATATGGTGAAAATGTGAGAAAAGAAATGCCAGACAGTGTGGATATGAAGCAAATTCACAAGCCAAAAGGGGAAGCAGCTCCAAACGTCCTCAAAACATGAAACGCTGAGCTGCCACACGGTCCAGAAACCCCGCCACTGGGTTTATATCCAAAGGAAGTAAAATGAGTTCATCAGAGTTGCCCGTTGCCCATATTCACGGCAATGCTACCCACCCAAGCTGTGGAATCAACCAAAGAGTCCATAGTTGGATGGATGGATAAAGGAAATGTGGTGTACACATCTAATATGATACTAGTTGGCCTTACTAAAGAAAGAAATTGTCATTGGTGACAGTGTGGAAAGCCTTACAGGGCGTTATGTAAGTGAAATAAGATAGGAACAGACAGGAAAATACCACGGGATCTCACTCACGTGTGGAAGCTAAAAAATCCATCTGAGAAGTAGAATGCTGCTTACCAGGGTGAGAAGGGGAAGGAGCCTGCGGTGATATTGGTCAAGATTTCAGCTGGGGAACTAAGTTCCAGGGAGTGCTGTGGGCCGTGAAGACTACAGTTAATAACAATAGATTGCTTGAAAATTGTTCATAGTAGATTTTAAGCATTTGTACCAGAAAACTATGTGAAGTAACACATGAGGAAATTAGCTTGGTTTAGCATACATGTATATTTTAAAAGATCATATTTTCCATCATACATATATGTGTGTGTGTGTGTGTGTGTGTGTATATATATATATATATATATATATATATATTTGTCAACTAAAATCCAACTTTAAAAATAAGACATATTTCAATCAGTCTAATTGAGGTGCTTTATCTTTGTATTCTTCTCAGGGTTCATGGTTCAGTTTTGAAAGATTTGCTGTGTTTGTGCTTCCATGTGTTTTAGAACTATTAGCCATTGGTGATGAACTTGGGACACGCCACTGAGCTCAGCTAGCATGGAGCTGGGTGTGGGAGGCCCACCCGGGGACAGGTGCCAGCGGTGCAGCAGGCAGGCCTAGGGAAGAGCAGTGGAGGCTGCCAGGGAGGCTGTTGGGAGCCCTGGTTCTCTCGGGCTGAGCTGCCAGAGGACCTCGACATGCTGGCTTGCCTGGTGAACTTGGCTGTTCTCGTCAGAGGAGGAGCTCAGGACCCCAGTGTGGCTCAGGGTGGCTGTGGCACTGTTCAGGGGAACTCTAGTTCTCACCCTGGGCGTCGCTTCCTGGCTCCAGTGCAGATCCCTCAGCTGCTGGCTCAGATCCTTCATCCCACTGGCTCAGACTTTCTAGCTTCCACCACTGACCTTGGTCCTTCCCAGCGCACATCCGTGAAAATGACCTGCATGAGACATTGTCGTGGGCTCTAGACCTCCAGCTGGACTCGTGGGACTCGTGGGACTTGTGGGCTCTAGGTCTTCAGCAGGACTCATGCAGGATATTAGGATCCAGGCCTTCATCTGGATTATTTGATATTTAGTGTGTGGACAGATTTCCTGCACTCTTTGTACATGATTCTTTAGGTGACTCATTATAAAATAATCTCATAAAATGTGTCCTATTGTTCCACTTGCACAAAATCCCAACCATGATACTCATCCAACCTTAAAACCACACATTGAAGATAATCCAGTCAATATTATTTGTACCACTTACAAACATAGGACAAACCAGAGCACAGGAAGCTGCCTGGAGGAGCCTGGGTGCTTACTGGCAGCCTTGTGCCCTGGCAGAAGGAGGGACGTGCAGTATGTTGCCAGGGTGCTGCCCATGAGTGGGTTAGTTTGCAGCAGAGACTGCCGACGTTCAGAGATGACTCAGGAAACAGGAGAACCCACAGGGTTCTAAATTATGAAGCATCCTTATTGAATGCGTATAATATGCTGTGTGCCATACTGTAAGCTACAGGTGAGCAAAGATGAATGAACTATAATTCTCATTTTATAAAAGTTCACAGAGTAGGGGCACAGGGCATAAGGGGCAGGTAAAGCAGTGAACAGACATTATAAGATAAACACAGTAGGCACTGCACTTATCACAGATGGATAGGCAAGAATCACGCACACCTAAAGCCTGCCAAAAAACGTAGACATGCTTCTGTGGTTCGCCATGTTAATCAATGTCTCCAAGCTGAAGGCCACACTCAGCACCTCTTGTGATGGTGGAGAGCAAAGGTCACTTGTATTAACTGCATGATGTCTCCATAAATTTAATTTTAAGGTCTTTATAAAATTTTTCTTTTTCTTGTGTACCTTTATTTGCAGACTCTGTGTGTGTGTGTGTGTGTGTGTGTGTGTGTGTGTGCGTGTGTGTGATATATATGTGAGATTTATCAGGTTGCCCTCCCTGCAGGACCAGAGCTAGGTATCTTGATATACTGCAGAGCCAGGAGAACCAGATCCAGCAGACCAGGAGCTGCTTGGCCCAAGCAGTTGGAGGCTGCAGGACAAGGGGGGTGGAGGCTGCAGCCCCAGGGTGCCCTCGAGAGTCACCAGCGTGAGTTGCTGCCGAAAGGCTGAAGAAGTTGGAGTGTGATGTTCCCAGGTGACAGCAGCAACGAAAGACACACCTGCGCAAGCAGAACTGAGTCTGCAGATGCAGCCTGACATCTTCTTCTGCCTTTTCATGCTGTCTGGGATGCAGGTCTATTGATGTGCTACCCAACGCATGGTGGGCCTTCCGCCCCTCAGTTCGCCGGCTTCCATGCCAATTGACGGCAAAACACCACTGTAGACCACCCAGAAACACGCCGTACCGGCCCTTTAGATGTCTCTCAACCTTGAAAATCAAGATTCACCATCACAGATGTCAAGTACAAGTTTCACTGGGAAAGAAAGTCGAGGAAGAGGTGACGTTTGAGTTGGGAAGGGAAAGAAAAGGAAGAGATCATTTTGGTGGAGAGGCTCTGTAAGCAGAGAAAAGCCAGTCGCAGAGGAGCAAAGGTGTGTGGAAGGAGCTGGCCTGGTGGGGGAGGCTGGTGTGAGTGGGGGCGGGGCACGGGAAGGCGCAGCGGGGAGCAAAGGGGCGCTAAAGGTTCCAGTAACGCACGCTAGTACTTTGGGCCTTGTCACAGTTGGACTTCAGACAGTAAGTTTCAGACGCTGCTGAATGAGTTTAGGACACACAAGTCCAGACTCTGAAAGAAAGCTTTAGTCATCCAAGCCATCAGTGGGGAAGTTGTTGATACGTTTCATTGTAAGGACTGGACAGGGCTTTTGAAATTAGAAGCATGATGACATCTTTATTTTTAGAGATGCGGCATACTTGGAGGTATAGTGGGAAAAGATGAGTGGGAGCAGACTTTTAGTAAAGGGATACTGTTTATAGAAGACACATGGTGTGCAAAAGAAACTCTGAGGATATTAGAATCATTAAACTTTTTGATCCAAATAACTCCCTGAGAAAATGTAGATATTGCTAGTTTAAGCACTTCAATCAAAGGAGTCAGTAGGAATAAATTCTTGGCTCCAAGAACAATATATCCAAGTCATAATAACTAGCCTCCGGATTCCCTACATAATTATCCAGGAGGGAGATAAAGGCTGAAATCTGAGAGTAAGAATGGAGACAAAAGGAGAAACCAGATTTGAGGCAGATTTGATCAGAAGGGTTGAAAACACATTTTCGTCGAAGGGGGCGAGTGATGCTGGTGTTTCTGATGTTGGTACAGTGAATGGCAGTGATGTTCTATTAGGAAGCTTTGCATCATGTGGAGGCCAAACAAAACCATTCCTTCACAGTGCCTGAGGAGTCCTAGACAAGGGGTAGCAAGTGGCGGAAATAGGCTCTTGGGGGGAAGAGGTAATGGTGTCTCGCCTGGACAAGCATGGCTGGTCCTGCCTGGTGCTTTGGAGTGTGCAGGGGCGACAGACGGAAATGTTCCGGAGTCTTAGCCTGCGAGGCGTGCTAGTACCATTGTGTAGTAGCCCACTGGAATGGCCTGGATGAGGGTGTGGAATGCTGCAAGGACCAGGGGCAAGTCTCCAGGAATTCTATTTTTTTTTTTTTTATGTGGATTTGTTTTTATTGACTAGGATAGGGCATAGTTTGGGAAGTGTCACCTCAGGGCACTCCCCACTCCTGTGCCCAGGGGCATGTCCATTCTAATCTTCCTGGGCTGTTCTTTAAAACTTTTTTTTCCGTACTGCCCTTGCTGCAGCAGCCTCCTCAGGCCCACTGCTGACTGGCTTTACCTGGGAAGAAAATTTTTTTCTTAGGGATACCTCTGGCTGCACAGCAAGGCAGGGGAATGCTGGGGGCTTAAGGAGAATGCCACATTTTTATTTCCAGTTCCAGAGCCTGCCATCTCCCTCTTTCTTGTCTCATCTTCCTCCTCCTTTCTTAATGTCTCTTCTACCTCCAACTTTCCTCTATTTTCTCTCCTTTTTAAAATTTCTCTCATCTCTGCACCTCTACCTTCTTTTTCTTACCCTTCTCTGTCTCTCTATCTCTCTTTCTGTCTGTCTCTGTCTCTCTCTCTGTCTCTGTCTGTCTGTCTATCTGTCTCTTTCTCTCTCTCCTCCTAGACCTTCTTCCTCTTCCTTCTTGTCTCCTCCTCCTCTTCCAGTCCCAGTGGCAACTCTGTTTGGCCAACTTAAACCCCTCTTGCTCAATTCCTAGGTGGATAGTACAAGTTTCACCATGTGTCACAAGAGACACTTGGCTTTTCTTGTTCCAGGGGAAATTTGGTCTGGGCACAGTCACATGGAGGCACCCAGAAGGCTCTGGGTCAGGGGCATCTGCAAGGCCTGACCAGCCGTGCTAGGAACCCAGCTTGGCAAAGGCTCCTATGGATGGCTATTTCTCTGCAAGCAACTCAGTGCTTGGAATAATGCATTTTTTAATTAGCTTATGTTTGCAAAACCTAACAGTTGTGTTTATTTTGGGGAATCTGTCCATGTATACCTTGCTGGCTTTCAATTCTTCCACATACACTTTAGGGTATTTCAAAGACAACAATAAGAGCCTTATTTCATCCAATTCATTGTGGGAAGTGATGTGTTACAGTTTCACTTTTCTTATTGCTGAGACCAAATACCACCCACAAGGTAAAGGAGAACAGGTTTATTTAGGTCATAGCCAGAAGAGGTTTTAGGCCATCATTGGCTGGCTATAAGCAGCGTGGGATGGCAGACAGGCATCATGGGGAGGAACAGTTCACGGCAGGCAAAGGCAGCAGGAGCCAGCAGGCCACGGGGCTGAGCACAGCGTTCTCCAGCCCTACACCTTGCCAGGCTCCTCAGGGCAGGCAGCGCTCACACCCTTACTCCTAGTGCCCTTGAGCCTAGCACTGGACCATGAACCAATCCCACGTCACACACTGTAGATCCAGCTGCCTCTGAAGAAGTGCCACCTGGGACTGCGTGAGACTTTGAGGGGACATCTAAACACAAGTCACAACAGGAGGCATGTTCTTTTACTCCGGCTTTCGTCTTTAGTTTTCAGTTACAAACTGTATTGTTTAATCTGTTTCCCCTCCTAGAGTTCATCAAGGGCAGGTGTATTTTCCCCAACACACAGAGCCAGCAGGCATGCTTTACCTAATGTAAAGTTGATACCCTATAATTTTTTCAATAAAATAACAAAACCGATGTATTGAATCAGCACTGTATAGAATTTCTTTAAAATTTAAATGCTTTATGTATGCTTAAGATTACCATCTGTCTGTTGGATTGGGGCGTGTGTGTGTGTGTGTGTGTGAGTGTGTGAGTGTGTGAGAGAAACAGAGAGAGGAGAGGAGAGAGAGAGAGAGAGAGAGAGAGAGAGAGAGAGAGAGAGAGAAATCCTGGGCTTGCAGTGCCTTAGATCTCTAGGCCAGTGGCCTTGTTAGGTAATCCTGCTGTCCTCCTAGCTGATGCTTATACCTGAGACTTGGTCTTGTCTGTAGTGACCACTGATGCCATATATAAATGTTGCTAGTAAACTTAATGGGCCAAAACACCAATTCTACTTGTGATAAAAGCCAGCATTCCATAGGACACCGAGCAAAGTCTCCAGGGGTTAGCCAGTCTGCCAGCCAGACAGCCAGCCAGAAAGCCAGTCAGACAGCCAGTCAGACAGATAGCCAGCCAGACAGCCAGACAGCCAGACAGCCAGCCAGACAGCCAGCCAGACAGCCAGACAGACAGCCAGCCAGCCAGACAGACAGACAGACAGACAGACAGACAGACAGCCACACAGCCAGCCAGCCAGCCAGACAGACAGACAGACAGACAGACAGACAGCCAACCAGACAGACAGACAGACAGACAGACAGACAGACAGACAGACAGACAGACAAACAGACAGCCAGCCAGACAGCCAACCAGACAGACAGACAGACAGACAGACAGACAGACAGACAGACAGAACTACCAGCTGTCATTCCAAGGAGGGTTATCTCAGCCATTCCTTCTTCCAATCCCTGGTAAAGTGCAAGAAGCAAGTCACTAAGTGGCAGTGCATTCAGAAGGTGTCCCTTACAAAATGAGGGTCCCCACACAATAAACTTTTTTCAAACGGGTTTTTCTGAAAGACTGCTTCTTTTGGGTATCCAGTACCTCTCAATTTGTGTATGGGCCAGTGTCGCTGCTTGTGCTTAGTCGCCTGACTGAGTGCATGTTTTCCTTCTTCCGCACTTACTGCCTGTGTGGACACAACCGCAGCACAGCCTGTTCGACTGAGTAACGCAGAGGAAATGTTTAGATGTGCTACAGCCTGCACTCACCCATACCCAGGTTTTCTAGTGGAATTTTGGCAGCCATTGGTGACCTTTTGTAAAACTGCCACACCTCAAATTCTCATTTTTCCATTCTGTGAGCAGTTCATTCTTTCGGATCCTGTTCTCCATCAAAGCAAAGCAGACGACTCCAGGTTGCCTTAATTATTTCAGCAGGTGGACTTGAGTCCCTCAGGCCATCAGTCAGCAGGGTCACCTTGGTGTGCTCTCATTGGCCACCGGTCCCCAGTAGTCCAAGGGGACGTACAGATGACTTCCAGCTGAGGCCAGCTTTGCCCCCATCCAGCTGGCTGCCGCGGAGGGAAGCTTCCCGTGGGCTTCCGGAGCAGGTCTTCTACCTTTGACCAGGCCTTGGTTGGCATTCAGGGAGTGGGAGCACGAGGAGATGCCCTGCTTAGCTGAGCACCGAAGAGGAGATTCAGATGATTGAGCCTTCTAGCATCTTTCCAACGCTGAACAGATGCATTTTCTGTCACTGTGGAGTAAAAATAGAGCTGGGAATGCCTGGAGAACAGGACACTGCAGCTAAGGTTTCCTCTCTGTGAGCTTCCAGTACTTTGAAAATCAGAAGTGTTTTGGTTGAAGAATCATCTTGGTTCTCAGGTACAAATCCGTTCCTCTTGGTGAAGGCAGAGTAGGGAACCTTCCAAGTGCTCATTGTGCTGCTGTTTGGATTTGCATTCATTCCTAAAGCTGAGTCTGGAAATGTTCCCCTTCGTCATTTTGTCTTTAGGAAATTGGAAGGTCACTCGAGACATGTAATGAGAAGGATTCTAACAGGTCCATTTGAGACTGCAGGTTGAGATTGCCTTTTCTAAAATGCTAGGGATAAAAATCATTTCATTTTTCAATTTTTTTTCTTGTTTTGGAATAATTGCATACATAGTAAGATACCTTGAGAATAGCACCCATGCAAGCAGACAACTCACTTTTGTTTCATACGTACCTGATGCACACAGTCTAGTGGGAATGCTGGATGGTGCTTCTGCTGTCTGCTTCTCGACTGTCACCTGGCACTTGAGGTGAGGTGTGTGATTTCCTACTCGTGGCCTCACACTGGTGCCCGAAATGCTTCCAAGTAGGAGCACTTTGGATCTTGAATTAAGGACCCTAAATGTGCAGAGTAGCTAAGGTCCAACTCGCTGGGTGACGAGCTTGCACCGGATGGTCACAGGATGCAGCTGTGGGGGGCAGACACAAGACCAACTCAGTGGGACTTACCGCTCCTCAGGAGTGTCAGTGTATGGGGGAAACCCAGCGTGTCACGGGAGTGTGGTAAATCAGTGCATGGAGCTGTGGAGACTCTCTGACATTTGAATTAGCAATCCAGAAGTGCCTTCAGTGACAATGTTACGCCATCTCATCTTCCAAATAAGCTACATTTTTTTTTGTATCAGTCATTAAAATCATACTTGAATCGCAAATGAATGTAGAGAAAGCATCACTCTATTTAGCATCACATTTGCACTATTTTTGCCTGATAAGAGTGACTTTAAGGTTTTTTTTTAACTAGGTACAGGGTCTTCAGTGATATCTACAATGGTCATACAAAGGAATCTCAGAGTAGCACAGGGTAAGTGCAATTTGGAAACTGATTCCAATTCAGTCTTTTACGTCACTGGTGGGCAACAAGTAAATAAACTGACTTAACAGGTATTTGTGAGAAAATTAGTCCTGAGAGGAGCAGAAGATACTAAATCTGTCACTGGGGCAGATGGCTAATTTTGAACTGAAAGCAACTGAGAGACCATAAATGCAGAACAAAGCCTTCTTCAAAGCTCCCTTCTCTGGGCTGGGCACAGAGGTCAGTGGCATGAGTCCCTGCCTGGCAAGCCCAAGGTCCTGAGTTTGATCCCCAGTACTGCAAAAAACAAAAAACAAACAAAGAAAACACACAACAACAACAACAACAACAACAACAACAAAAAACCCTTTCCTCTGACCACATGTAGAAGATGCTAAGAAATCTCCCTAAGGAGATTTTTATGACTATGTTGAAGAGAGAAAGTCACCACCAAAAAGAGTCTACACGAATCTTAATAAAATGATTCTCATTTCCATTAGTTTCTCCATATATTTGTCCTTCTACAGTTTACTGCCCCTCTGAGTCCAACTCTCTTCTTTCCTTGTCTAATCACTTTTCAGCAACCAACGCCCCATGGCTCAAATGGCACAGAAACTTCTGAGTCTAGCTGGTTCTGTGGGTCACCCTTCCTTTTTCTGAAGTCCCAGTGCATGTAAAAATATTGCTATAAATGAAACCCCTTCAGTCAGTTCAGTTTGCAGATTCCATTCAATGAAGAAGAATGGTCTTTAAGCTTCCATCCTCCCCATCAGCACAAAGGTAAGCTAAAGAGTTCTTAGCCTTTTTAATCCCTAAAGGAAAACGACAACCCAAAGTTAAGTTCAACGTATGAAAAGCTGTCAACACACGACAGAATTTATCACTATTAACAACCTTTCATATGTCAAAAATAACTTTGATTTTTCATTTAGTGGGTGCATTTTTCTGATTTTTGTTGAGAGAAATTAGAGGAACAAGGAACATGAAAATGCTGTCTATTTGGCATTACTAAGGTTAGTTTGTGCGAGCTGACTGGAGAGTTTTCAAACACTGATCAGTTCGAGGTCTGCCAGTTTGCCTGTTATTTTCGCCTGCGAGCTGCAAAGTACTTAAGCAAATAGGTACAGTGTGAGCTCCTGTTGCCCACACCTCGGTCAGTTCAGTTCTTTCCTAATGGCTCATGATGAGAGTTGTTATTTTTGGTCTGCATTGAATAAGTTACGAGCAGATGAATTACAGGATGAACTGAACTTTCAATCTCTCTTTCTTTCCCTTGCTGCTCTGCAGAGCTGTACTCTTTCTGGAGCCTTATTTAGGCGATTGGTGAAAGTCCTATTGAGATCCCGTACTGTGAGCCCCCAGGCTGGGTGTTTTGCTTCCTCAGTGAAATCTGGCCTGTGCGTTAGAGAAAGCACTGTGCTTCTCCTAAGGAGAGGAATACTTTTGGTGCTACCCAGCAAAAGGACTTGGGAGGCCTACATTGCTTATTTATGTGCAGAGTTTAATGCTAAAAAGTGCATTAAAGGTGAAGACCACATCTAGTGTCAAAGCAGTTAAAATCTTAAATATCCCTAATGACTGCTTTTAAGTCATTGCTATTTCTTACAAAAACAAATCAGTGTGAGATTAAGTGCCGGGCGCTTGCATTACAAATGATACCCGTCATCTGGATTTCTCATTAGGGGCTTCTGCCAAGTCCTGCTCTTTGCCAGGGATGATTTAACCATTCAGAGTGTCAGCCTGACCTTGCGCGTGGGGGTGGGGAGAAATCTAATGGCCTGAACATCATCTTCTCGAATTCTAAAATATCCCAAGAGATTAAGCCAAGAATGTGAGGACCTTTCTTAACCACTGTAGTTAAAATCTACATCCTACATGGTTGCACTTTGAAGTGGCGTGTGCTGGGGATTCTGTAGCTTTCACATATTAAATCAAATAAATACTTTAAAGAAAGGTTTTAGAGGAAAAAGGGAGAAAATAGAGATAAATGTATTAGAGCTCCAGAGTTGGCAAGAAATACAATGGTTGTTTAACTGCAGGCATCTGCTTATGTGTGTGGGTTTACTACTCTGAAAAATGTCCCGATACAGCGGTAGGTCTGTATAAAATACAAGGGATGAAATATAATCTCAACCGTAAGTCTGCTATTCTGCATGCCTTCAAAAAACTGGGTCCTAAGTCCTCCTAAGCATAAGTGCCAATAATTAGTTTTAAATGCTTCCTGGTCACTGTGCTATTAGTCTGGGAGATATAATTGTTACAGGGCTAATGGAACTAAATTTTGCATCATCCATAAGTAGAAGTGTTACCTAATCCCCCTGTTATTAAGCAACCATCTTTAGTGCTAAATAGAACTGTATGTTCTGGTCATGGCTAAAAGGTTCTTCAAATGTTGTGGAAGTGGTTTGTTACTTATACTCTCAAGAAATTATTTTCAAAGGAGTTAAGTCAAAGACATCTTGCTCAAAACATGAAGATATCTTTCTCAAAACACCTGGGATTGGGAGGCATTTCATAGCCAGTGAGTTCATAAGATTCTCTCTTCTTTGCAGGTGTAAGGTCCCAGGTTCAACCCCCAGCGATCACTACCTCTCCAGAAAGTAGGGCCACTCACTGAACCAAGTTAGTCTACAGTTCGCATGGCTACACCTTGCCCAGCTGCGTGTGACATTTATTGATAAAATTTACATACCTACTTTTAAGGTCCCCGTTGATTGGATTATACCTGATGTTGCTTTCCCAGCTCTTCACCTGGTTTTCCTCAAATCCACTGACAAGTTGGTGGTGGGGGAGGGGTTGTTTAGGACAATTCTACAAGCCATCCACAGCACTAGCTCTGGATTTCGCGGGCGCATACTCCACAGACACTGCATGTCTCCCACCCTGGTGTGCTATCCACGGAAATCCCGTGAGCAAGGGTTTAAGTGCTTTCGCTACCTGGCACTGAAAGGAAATTCGAGCATGTTAGTGGGCGTTGCACCACTGTAGTCCACAAAGTCAAGTTTAACTCCACCCTGTCCCATCCCACTGGCTGGGCATCCATAGCAACAATTTTGTCCAACTTTTCTGGGTGATCGTGGAGGCAGTCTAGAACAATGCCAAAGACAACTGTACCTTTTCTGCAGCTTTGTCCTTGGGCATAATTTTGTCCTTCAGCCAGGTGAGTTCCGACCTGTAGGAATTTTTGTTCGTTATCATTTCCCTTCATCATATCTTATTTAATTCTGAGGTGATACAGAGAGAAGGGACTGTAGAGTAGTTTAAGGCAGATTTTTTTATGTACTTTAGTACAGGGTCTTACAGATCTCACTACGTAGATTGGACTCATTGTGATCCTCCTGTTTTCAGCTTCCCAAGCACTGGGATTACAGGCGTGTGCCACCATGCCCAGTCTCAATCGCCATCTCAGTGCACCCCAGGGGTGGGGCCAGCACAGCAGGCCCGAGATCACAGATTTCTTTTTTCAGCAAAAACTAACTTGAAAGTCTGTCTTGAACATCATCCCTCTGGGGAGCTACTTTGTGATTCTACTTCCCAGAACTTCCTGTGATCTTGATACTCAGTGACTCATTTGTAAGTTTCTTGGCAGGGAAGGGTCTTATGAACCCAATTAAAACTAGTCATTGTGCTTCATACATTGGCTGAAGGGCAGGCCAAATAGCTCAGCGGATTAAAGTGCCTACAAGTAGGCACAGGGGCCAGGGGTTCAATCCCCTAGGCCTGCCATGCCGGCCCCGCCCCTGGGACGTGCTGAGACAGCAATTGAGACTGGGCATGGTGGTGTGGGTCTATAATCCCAGCTCTTGGGGGGCTGTAAACAGGCAGATCACTACAAGTCTGAACTAGTAGTGAGACCCTGAACACCCTATAGTCCCTTCCTTAAAATGTATATAATGGCTGAGCAAATCAGTTGCCTCGATGTGGGCTGCAGGTGGCCTGGATGGAAGAGCTCAGACAATCATGAGCTATGTGCTGGGATGGCCGCTGCCATAGGTCGGCCTCTGTTCCCATCAGCTTGGTATGTTTTTCTCTGTGGTCCTTTGAGCTGCAAGTCCCGTGTGTCTTCATTTACGCTAATGCTGCAAGGGGTGCAGCTGTGGTCTGTGCCTTGCCGAGAGCTGCTCTTCTAGGTGGTACTCCCAAGCTGAAGAACAAAGTTATGCCCAAGGACAAAACTGCAGAAGAGAGGAAGTTTGTCTTTGACATTGTTCTAGACTGCCTCCTCCCTGCATGTGGCCTTTGAAATTTGTTTCAATTACTAATGCCCAGTAACCTTATCTTCAATCCATGGTTAAAGTACTCAGTAAATTCATATACATTACAGAATTGTAGCTTTCAGATATATTTTTTAATTTAATTTTTAAAATTTTATTTATTTTCGTATTTTGTGCAGGATCTCACTACGCAGCTTGAACTTGTAGTGATTCTCATGTTTTCAAGCCTCCCAGGGCTGGGATTACAGTTGTGTGCCACCACGCCTGGACTCAGTTGCCCGCTCTGTGTGCCCTGGGGCAGGCCCAGCATGGCATGTGGTATCTCTGTGCTTACCTAAGCAGGTACTATCTCGCCAGCCCTATTTTTTTTAATTTTAAAAGAGAAAACCTAAGTAGAGAAATAACAATTATTTTCAAGGTATAAAATGACTAATTATAGGAGACAAAAATTCTGGGTATGAGTGTGTGTGCACGTGTGTGCGTATGTGTGTGTCTGTGTGTGTGTGTGTCTGTGTGTGTGTGTGTTTAGTCTTTTCCTTTTGGGAAGCTGCACTCCTCTTGCTGCGTGCCAGGGGTGAGCGTGAGAACGAGGTGGGCTAGTTTGGGTGCCCTCATCTGCTTGGCACCAGAGACGAGCTCATGGTTGCTGGACCAGAGCCACCCACATCTGCAACCCTTTACTAGAATCAGTAGAGTTGGAGGGAGAGAAGAGTTCTTCCTGAGGTGATGACTGTATCCAGTAAGAGCGAGAATGTAGTACTCGGAGATCATTTTGGGGAGGTCTGGTTGGAGTTCTAACTGGTGAAAAAAATAGTCAGCAGTCAGAGAAGAGTGAGGGGCGGGGAGAGGGAAAGGGCTCTGCGACAGTGAGAGATAGGTTGCCTTTACTAAGCAGGCCAACCTAGCTACACCTGAAACTAGATTTAACTGTCTGCCCAAGTGGTCAGTGTGTGTGTGTGTGTGTGTGTGTGTGTGTGTGTGTGTGTGTGGTGTGTGTGTGGTGTGCATGTACGTGTTTTAGGTCACACAGTTTCTTACACAGAGCCATATTTCTTCTTCTAGTGCCAGTGACAGGTCCGATGGCCACCTTTCCAGTTATGGCAAACCATAACTAACAATTCTACCTTGATCTTTGGAGGACCAAGGGCTGGAGTGTGAGCTAGGTTTATTTGAAATTCTTTTGGTCCTTGGAATTGAAACAATCTCCTATGTTACCTAAATGCTAGGATTTAAAGTATATATTTAAGGGCCGGGGAGATAGCTCAGTGGAATAAGTGCTTGCCGGGCAAGTGCAAGGTCCTGAGTTCAATCCCTGGTTCTGCAAAAAATAAAATTAATAATAAAACTGGAAATTAAAAAAATAAAGCCTATATTTAAAAAGATGATTTTGGGTGGATGATGTTTCTGTTGTCCTCCCTCCTAGCCTGTAAACGTTGATTTATGGTTGATTTTGATTAAGGGCGTGATGCTGACTCTGCAACCTGCTGTTGTTACCCAGTGTGCAGTTTGGGTGTGCTATCGAACATGTCACTGCGTCTCCAGTAGGGTCCAATTTGATTCGGTGGAATCCAAGTCAGTTACTTCATCTGGACTAGCCACTCAAAGGGCCTTATCTGGAAAGTAAATAACAAAGCGCTCGGTTCCACTCTGCAGCCCAAAGGTTCTTCCATTTGTAGTGTTTGGAAAGATCTGTACGAACCGACACTGCAGATTTTGTATGACAGTCGATATATTAGATCCATCTGTGGGACATTAATAAATATCAGCCACTTGCCTACCTTTTGGTCTTTGATGAGCCCTGAGGTCTTCAAAGAAGCTGGGGCTGTTTGTTACGAGTCCATGCTTGACAAATTCACTGAAAGGTGGAAGATCATTTGCATTGTTTCCACACCGCTGCCAACACTCCAGTTAATAAACATGGGATGAAAGTATCAGTCCTCTCTCTTGTGTTGACTATATATTTAGCCAAGTAATTATATCAGTAGCTATTTCTAGGTGTGTATATAAACTCATACCATTCTTTTATATAGCTTCCATAAATAGCTATAATAACGACTTCAGTTAAATAGTAGGGGGATGCAAGTGGAAGAAAAGACCAAATCGGTGGAACTGTCATAACTTTCTGTTACTGCTCATTTCCTTTTTCATTTTCTAATATGACTTTGTTTTTGGCTTGCACGTTGTTGACACTGAGTGTGACTAAGCCTTTGCCCCAAGGGCCGTCCCTTCTCCAAGTCGCTGACTTTTGCTTTCCACTGGGAGCGAGGAGCTTTTCTGGCCCGGGCTGACGCTGGTCCACAGGGAGGGTCCCCGCTGGAGGCTGCTGTGCTGCAGCGACTCCACTTCCTGCGCATGCCCAGTGACTTTCTTCTACTGGCCTTATGGAGGTATCATGGAATGGATCAGACCGTAGAAAATCAGCTCACTGAAAAAAGATGCATTCAGCAAATCGACAGACTTTTTTATTGGTCATTTAAAAAGCAATTTTAAGTGATTGTCTTTTCAAACTTTGGTTTAACTTGTAGCTTATGCAATTATGTGCTTGCTTTTATTTGCTTAATTGGCCAAGAAAGTCACATGGAAAAATAATGAATGGATGTGATGTATTGATTAAGTGAAAATGATCTTTCTCTTTTTTGTAACTGATGTGAACCAAGTCCTAATCCTTAAATGAAGTAAATCTTTTGGAGATAAGAACTATTTTAGTAGTAAGAGCCTTTAACAAAAGAAGATATGTTCCTAGCCTGAACTGGAGACCAACTTTCTTTCTTTCTTTCTTTCTTTCTTTCTTTCTTTCTTTCTTTCTTTCTTGGTATTTTTTTTTAGGGAAGGATCTTCAGGGTGTTCAGGGTCTCACTACTGATCAGACGTGTAGTGATCCACCTGTTTACAGCCTCCAAGAGCTGGGATTATAGGTGCGTGCCACCACGCCCAAGAGACCAACTTTCTTGATGAGTTGTATATTCCACTGTGTGCGAGCTTACATTGTAATGTTTTTCTTGATTATAATGATTCATGTATTTTTCAGAAAAAACTGACAATTGCCTTAGTTTAACACAAATTATTTTCTTTCCTCCAAAATGACAATCAATGTGACTTAAATTATACTTTTATAAGGAATTGTTTTGACTTTATGAATTTATGACTAGGCATAGAAATCAAATCTGTGCTTTTAAGTTCCTAGAACAAGTAGATTGATAGATGTTTATGCATCATGATGCTCAAAAGGAACCGCTGGCTCTCCAATGATGGATTTCATACATTACATTTAGAAGTAGGTGAAACGCTGGGCTACACTTTAATGGTATACACATGTACACAGATGTGTGAAATGTGGAATTTGATATCAGAGGTTTATAATAAACTTAACCACACACACATGCACGTACATGCATGCACAAGTACGTGAGCAATATATGTTGTGAGTGGAAGTATAGAGGAGTTTGAAGGGAGTGATTTCTGAAGGATAAAATGATAGGATGACCAGGGACCTGAAGGTGAGACAATTCATGTAGTTGAAGAAGAGGAGAATGCTGTGAAAAATCATCATAAAAGAAGACTTTGTTCATCCCACCATGGAAGAACAAAGCAACACCAGCAAAGGAAGGAAGTGTCAAGTTTTAATCCAAAGCTAGTGAAGAGAACTGACATCTCTGATTGAATCTACATTACTCATCATATTGTTCATCTCATATTTCTTTTACTTGTGCTTTAATAAAGAATACATATTTAAGTTTATAAAAATATCAAAGCTCTAAAGGTAAAGTTCATAGAGTGACTAAGAATATAATTTCTTTCTCCGTCTCTTCATGGTCATTTGAACTATTCTCAGCATGCAACCACTCATAACAATTTGGTAGATGTAACCCTAAATGTTTTAGTAACAAATACTAGCCCATGCGCGCGCGCGCGCACACACACACACACACACACACACACACACCGTGTGCTCACAGCCACTTTTCCACCACCCAGACTCAACACCCAACCCACACAGCTTAAAGGAGCAGAGGCCATTCCAGCTTTCACTGCGGTCCGTAGTTGAAAGGCTCCAAGGCCCAGCAGGAGAAGCAACATGTGCTAAACCCCTGGCAACCAAGCAGAGAGAGAGCAGAGCCACCAGGAGGAGAGCACACCCTTTCCTCTCATGGTGCTGGTCTCACTTCAGCCAGGGCCACTTCCCCACAGTACAGCCAGCCACCAAGATCATCCATGGTGAGTCCACTGATCAGGGCAGCAGCCTGTGATCCGGTCACCTCCCACACATGCGAGAATCTGGGGCGCACTTATATCTAAGTCATACAACATCTGCATATAGGTATTTATGCAACCAAACAGGCTGTATGAACCTCAAATGGGGGTGTTCAATTTGTTGTTCTATGTTTCTTCTAGGAGTTTTCATCAGTGTATTTTGGATATCCAGATTAATCGGTTCATTGTGGCAGATTTGTACATACACATGACTTATTTAGTCATTTTTCCAGTCTCACCAGTACCTATATACCGATTCAGTGTTTCTCGTAAGTAAATTAACAAGCTGTTAGATTACACCGACAGATCAGCAAGTGTTCTGATTATTTGTTGATATATAGTAAATCATCCCCAAATTTTATAGCTTTCATTCAGAATACATCTTTAGGGTCTCTCTGGTAGCTGTGGGTCAGGGATTTGGGGCCGTCCTGGCTGGCGGGCTATGGCTCCGGATGTCTGTGGCTGCACACAGGTCCTGGCTGCAGCTGGGGGAGAAGTCAGGATGCTGAAGAGGCTGGAGCTGGGCAGTGCCTCGTTCCTTCCCAGGCAGTCCTTCTTCACAGGCTCATTCAGGTTTCCTCCCGGCACGATGGCTGCAGGACAGTGAGACAACCAAGGTGCCTGCTAAAGGTCTCAAGAATCAATTTCCAACAAACTGCTGCCTCTTCAACTGGCTTTATGACACGGCCCTCCCAGCATCAGTACTGCCAAGCAGTCATGTCCACGTAGCCTCAAGAAGAGGGACCTAGACCCCATGTCCACATTAAAGCCCAGTGGTAAGAGTAGACTGGGGAGTAAGTAAAACTTGTCACAGCAATTTTAGCATACATAGTCTACCTTCGCAGTGGGCATCTGTCCAGCTTGTAAGAAATCAGTGGAGTGTGAAGGAGGCAGAAGTAACGCGGGTTTCCCCGCTGCTGCCTGGGAGCAACTCCGAGGTCTGTCCCTCGGCCTGAGGCAGCGGTGGGAGATGGGCCGAAGTTTGCTGTGAGACAATGGAGGGCGGTGGGGGCAGTAGCAACAAAACCACGGGTGGCTTGGCCGGCTTTTTTGGAGCGGGCGGAGCTGGTTACTCGCACGCAGATTTGGCCGGAGTCCCGCTAACTGGTATGAACCCTTGGTCTCCTTATTTAAATGTGGATCCACGACATCTTGTGCAGGATACAGATGAGTTTATTTTACCGACTGGAGCTAATAAAACGCGGGGCAGGTTTGAACTGGCCTTCTTTACAATTGGAGGATGTTGCATGACTGGGGCTGCATTTGGGGCAGTGAATGGTCTTCAGCTAGGATTGAAGGAAACCCAGAACATGGCCTGGTCCAAACCAAGAAATGTACAGATTTTGAATATGGTGACGAGGCAAGGGGCACTGTGGGCCAATACTCTAGGTTCTCTGGCTTTGCTCT